TATATATATATATATATATACTATATATATGATATATATATATATGGTAGTTGTATATATATATATATATATATATATATATATATATATATGAGATAGTTGTATAGAGAATAGTTAAGTTTGGCGTTTTGGCGGGAGGCTTATCAGCCGTTGGTCCCGAAGGCCCAAAAGGCCGCCAGCAGCGGCCCGCCAGTTGTTGGCAGTTGGAAGGAGTTCTTAAATGGACCAGTGGACCAGTGGACCAGTGGACCACTGGACCAGTGGTCCATGTTCTTAATTGGCTTTTTAATAGAATGGTCCAATTAATAATTAATTCCAACTAAGACTGAAGAATTCCTTTTGTTGCATTTTTCTACTCAGTCCTCCACTCCGCAAACTCCACCCCGAGTGGTCCACTGGCCACCTGCGAGTGGTCCACTGGTCCACTCCAACAGAACCAATGGACCACTCTTTCTTTCATTATTTATTTATTCTTCTTGCTGCTTCCACTTGGCAAAAAGGTCCTTTTTTGCCACTTATTGATTGCAAATAAACCCAAAAGGACCAAACCAGCCCCCAAGTCCACTCCAAAGCTCCTTGACCACTCCAGTGGTCCACTGGTCCACTATAAACGCAACTAATGGACCACTGGTTCATTCTTGCTGCTTCCACTTCGAAAAGGTGTCCATTTTGCCATTAACATGCCACCTAGTAATGGTAAAGTAGACCCAAAAGGCCCAAAAGGCCCACCAGCAGCAGTTCATGGAAAAACTGGACCAAACAATCCCCCCTGGTCCATTCCAAAGCTCATTGTCCACTGCAGTGGTCCACTGGTCACCTATAAACGCAGATAATGGACCACTGGTTCATTCTTGCTGCTTCCACTTGGCAAAAGTATCCATTTTGCCATTAACATGCCACCTAGTAATGGTAAAGTAGACCCAAAAGGCCCAAAAGGCCCACCAGCAGCAGTTCATGGAAAAACTGGACCAAACAATCCCCCCTGGTCCATTCCAAAGCTCATTGTCCACTGCAGTGGTCCACTGGTTCACTGCGGGGTCGAAGGAGAACTTGGGAGTGCCGGCCATGGCGGCTTTGCCGAAGTCCCAATTCAAGTCCAAGACGCGGCCCAGGCGGCGGCAGCGCCGCTGCTGCTGCTGCAGCAGCAAACGCAAACCCCAGTACACACGGCCGCCACCCAGACCCTGCATTCTGCTGCTGCTGCTGCTGCTGCTGCTGCTGCTGCGGGGGGGGAAGAGGCTGCTGCTGCTGCTGCTGCGGGGGGGGGGAAGAGGCTGCTGCTGCTGCTGCTGCTGGGGTGCGGGGTGGGAGGGTGGTGGTGCTGCTGCTGCT